ATCCAGTAAAGCTCTCTCTTCCCAATGGAAAGGGATCGGCCATAGTCAACTCTGTTGACCCAATGGTAAAGAGAGAGGCGGAGTCTGAGATAGTCCCATTATCAAGGATCCATAGGTAACTATTGCCAAAGGAAGGGGCATTGGTTACGAAGCTGCCAAATTTACCTAAGGATGTTAAAGTCAATAAGTTTGACTCTACTTCAGGTAAAGTCCATTGTCTAACTCTATTAAGTACATGCTGATTCTGATCGCGAAGATGGATTTCAATCGCATGGTTCGGTGATCAGAATTTTGGGCTATTACTTAAGAGTTATGATATTTATATTGCTTAGGAATAGATAACAACAAGGTTTTCATATGGATTGTAAGGATAAGTTTTTCCGCAAAGTTTTAAAATAAAAGAAAAGGTTTTGATTTTATTTATTTTAAGTATCCTTACAATGGCATTTGTGAAAAGTTGTTGCTTATAAGATTCCATTGATAGCAATATTGGAAAAATGGATTTGATTCTTTCGGTTGTGGTAGTGGCTAATATTACCAAATAAGGAAAGATTCTCATCACCCAAGGTTCAATTGGACCGAAACTTGGAATCATGCAAGTTGTATAGTATGATGAATGAGAACTTTCAGCTTGGAAAATTAAGACCAATTCCTTATGTGAATAAGGAAAGGACTAAGGGATCGAGTACACATTCTTGTGCACTGGTCAAGTCCACCACAAAAGATCAAGAAGACTATTCGTCATGATTTACTTAAGTTCGGTAAATATGGTTATACTTATAAGTTTAAGTATAAGTCTGTCGCATTGGAGAAGTTTCAATGTGAGACAGAACGAATAAGAAGAATCAAAGTATGGCAGAAAGATAAAAGTTTCTCAAATCTGAAAAGATGGGAGAGTACTTTAGTATCATGTTTATGATCATCTTAATGATTAAGATACCATATCACAATTGGTCCTCTAAAGTCAAGAAGAGGAGTCATGAATTGTTGAAATGGTTAAATCAAAAAGATGAGTCATACTTCGTTCCAAAACAATTCTTAGAGTCATACTCCAAGATTGTAACTTGAGTGACATATCTTAAAGAGGGTTTGTTAACACTAGTCAAATGTAAGAGTAAAAGGTTATCTACTCTTGTACATTTGAAATTGGTAAGTTGTGATGTTTTGGATAAAACAAAGACCAACTTAGGCCAATTGTGTAAAGTGTTAGTCTTGATAAAGAATCCGCACTATCTCTTGAATATTTGACAAGAGAGTCTTATATGTCAAGAGGACAGTGGGAGTCTTAAAGCTCTTGAAAGTTTCAAGACTTAATCAAGAATAAAACCTAAAGTCCTTCACTAGCACACGACTTGAGGTTTATAACCTATCGTGTTGAAATTTTTGTGCCTATTCAAGTTGGCTTTGCATAGGAGTTCTGAGAGTTCTCAATTGGTTGCACAACTACTTGGAAGCAATGACAGGCACCTGAGCTGCCAAATGGCAAGAATTTAAGATTGCACAAGTTTAATCAATATGAGTTTGGATTTGTCACTAACCTTGTCTTGTGATTATGGTTTTGACAAATTCACATGATAAGAACACATACACTATTAAATCTAAGTGTCATAAGGTTTCTCTCCGATTCATGAAAATGATGGTGAGGAAACACTTTCACTAAGTAGATTTTAGCTAGCTAGCAATTGTGATATTTGCATTCTCAAAGTCGTTAGTGGAGCGTGTGTGGTTTACCGGCACACTAACATGGACTTGTGAGAAGTGGCAAAGGTCTAAACAATTGAGACTATGATTACGGCATCCCTTTTCATAGTTCTAAAATTGTTTAGACACGCATGTGAGCTATCTAAGAGAGGTGTATGATTTTGATAAAGTTTTATCAAAACAATCTAGTATCAGAAATCTGAACTTTGGTAAGAAAGTCAGTTGATTTCTGAGTACATGTCAATGCTAGTGGGAGCATAAGTGTTATGCTAATAATCATCATGTTAGTGGGAGCATGATAATTATGACAAAGGTTGCAAGTTAGCAATGTTAATTATAGAAAACAAAAGTTTCAATTCGTGAGGTTGCAGGGGTTGAAAAAGTTGTTTTGCTATAATTAAGGGAGAGAAAATTATACTTCATTTCAATTCTAAAAGCTTAGATTGAGATTTTAATCGTATTTAATCAAGGATATATATATGAATTTCATGTTGGAATGGCTCAACATAAGGAAATTCTATATATGGGTCCATTATTTGCGTTCTAAAATTCGATTATGATTACGGCATCCCTTTTCATAATCTGAATTTTGAGAACTTGGCAAATTGAAATGGAAATATTATAGCAAAAGACTGGTTTAGTCTTTATGTGAGACATCATGAATCGTGTCCCATATGCTTCGGATATAGGATCGATTACATGTGCTATATTCATCCTTTCTAAAATTTTCCAAATGCCTGGGGCATTATGAAGGGAAAAGGTCTAGAATTAGATATGACTAAAATGATTAAGCAATTGTCGAGGACAATCTAAGGTTTACCAAAGATTGGTTGCTCAAGGACAGTTGGAAGTATAATGTTAATTCTGGAAGGACCATATTGACATAATCTGTAAGGAGGCAACTCTTGTTCAGAAGTGATAGTCAAAATGGAATATGGAAATGTTTCAAAGTTAGAAATTATTCAATCTGTGTAGGAAACTTAATGAAAGAAGGATGTTTCCAAGGAGCTGATCTCCTTTGGAATGCTCTGTAATGATTGTTGTCAAGTCTTTCTGACTTCGTGCATAATCATTAAGAGGATCAATGCATATAAGTTTAGAATCTAACAGATTTCAGTAAATGGCATGAATTTGGAATTCTTGCATTTGCAGTAAGGATTTGGGACTGTGAGAAGAGGATCATTGGAGTGATGTTCAATTGATCTATTTTACAAAGTAAAGATCATAGACAAACATAGTATGCATACTTGGTGTATGACATGACTAGTGTTTAGAAAACATAGTGTACATGCTTGGAGCATGGGACAACTATTGTTTTAAATTCAAGTATAAAGTTGATAAAACCGAAACAATGAATAATGAGTAATCAGTATGGTGATAAATAAAAGTGTTTATTTATATTCATAGGGTTTGATACCATATTTGATTCATTTATTCTTGTGTTTCACTTTGCATGTTTTGACTTCCAGAATAACTAAGTCGCTCTTCCTGAATGATTAAGTTATTCAAACCATCCACAGTCGGTCATATGTTGGAAGTAGATATGAATCAAGACTGTCATGGGTTGGTTTGTAGAGGTCCAAGTTGGTGGACAAAGTGGTGCTACAACACTCATGAGTGCTCATAAGTTCTGAGTATTGGATTCAACCCGCGCTCATTTGAATCACTTCATGGATTTTATCACGAGTGATCATGAGACGATAATATCTTATATTCTTCAAACCTAGAGATATGAGTTGTTACTATGAGTTGGTTATACATTGAATTGCACAAAACGCATTGGTAACTCGATGTTATAAAACGTGCTTTGTGTATGATTCAACAAGTAGTAGAACAAGCCATATGAGTCGAAGTTTATCCATTCCTTTTACCTTTGGGATAAAAGCGATATCTTTGGGCCCCTCGATGATTTAAAGATGATACATGTGAGTGCTTGGCCAAGCCAGGACTGATTTTATTTGTTCAATCAGTCAGTCATCATGAATCGGAAATCGGGAAACAACAAATGGACAGAGAGAATGATTGATAATCCATGTCTCAGTCCATATGATATCTAGAATGGAGGAATATATGATCCCTTATCTAATGGACAAGTCATTGACAAAGGTCAGAGTTCATCGACGAGGTCAGAGTTCGACAGAAGCTTTTGAGAGCTACGATTGCTGATCGGTTCCTGAAGTCATACGCAATAATAGTTTTAGACTTATCCAAGTGGGAGACTGTTGGATTAATGTCTAAGTCCATAACTATAATTGGTAAGACTTGACCCGACCCGACATGGTCCATTTAGGTTGCATGGCATCATGCATTTGGATAGACTATAATGAGAGAAATAACACTTAAGGTTGGTTAATATATTATAAGTTCTAATATATTAATAAGGTTATTTAATTAGTATTGATCAAGAATTAATTTGGAATTAATTAAGTGATCAAAAGGAGACTAATTAAATATATGGGTTGATTGTGTAAATCATTCATTCTTATATATGTGGGCTTGTGATCCAAGATTCCTTATGTTGGACTAAGTCCATGGGGTGACCCATGGATACTCCATGGAGGTTAAAATCCATGGAGCATAAGGAATGGGTAAAGTTATGAGTTACATGGTGTAACCCTAATAGCCACCATATAAAAGAATCCCATGGCTCAAGAAATCGTGCACTAATGTGTGAGTGTGAGGGCTAGACGATTTCAAGGAGTGTTCAAGTTTCTCTCAAGTTATTCCAAGTGTATTTGGTGTTGTGTGAACCATTTGAGGCGTCACACTTGGGGCACTAGGCACTCAAGCTTCATGAAGACATTCTACATCAAAGACGTATGTATTATATCTTGTTATATTTATTATTTTGTATGCTAGATTAGGATAATACCTTGGATGTTCATAATTGTATGTATAATAGAGAAAACATAGATCCAAGGTATTTAGGGTTGCATGTACACTTAGGAGTGTTAGAATGCTCATAACCCAACAATTCCCCCCCCTTCTATCCAGGACCAAGAAAAAAACAAGACAAGCTTGTATCTCTGACATTAAATCATTTTATGTATGAGTCGGTAAAATCATCAAGCACTTACAATATTAAGAAAATGTTGTATGTTCATGATGAACAAGGCAAAAAACAAAGTTATGAAGCAGACACACATCCAACATGAAAAACAAGTTCAAATATTGGTAAGAGAAATCCAAGCTGAGGATAGTATGGCCTTATGCTCCTATAGTTGTTTATCCAAACCAGACAATCTACTTAGCACTTCGTCGATATTCCAAACTTCATATTCGACGAAGCCCTAAAACTTATGGAGGATACTCTTGAGGAACTAAAGCTCCAAGCTCCAACTGCCGATGCATATGATAACCTAACTAAGGTTATCACTTTCAGTTTTCAAAAAGGTTTTGAGAAGCTCAGAGATCTCAATGAGAAAGTAGAACTTACACCGAACGTAGGTCCTTTTGATTCAAGATGGGGAGAAGAAGGTGTTAGTGATTGGAACCAAGAATACAAGCTCTTAGATGAAAGCACGAATGAAGATATGTAAGTTTCCCCTTCCGATAAAAACCTTCAACCGAAAAAGTTATATTCGACAAGGGAAAGGCAAAATGGTCTATTTGGCCGACTACACTTTCTGATGCTGTAAACTGAAGCGTTCAGGAAGCCAAGGGAAAGACAACGAAATGAGTTCAAGTGTTAAGAACCTCCCAACTGACGCCTTCAGTAAAACCTCCTATCATTGCACCAATCGATTAAAGCGCCCCGATTTGAACTAATGTTCAATTGCCTTCTCTTACCCTTACTGTTGAACCGATCAAGGAATTCATTATAACTCCTGCTGCTCATTAATTTATTAATATCTCTACTCCAAGAGCTACAATGAAAAAGGAGTGTAAATGCAAGGAAACTGAAAAGATTAACCGGACGAATCCACTAGAACAAACAAAGGGCTTTTCTCAAGCACAAATCGATCAAGCAATCCAAGAAACTTTAATTGTTGAACAGATTGAAGAGAACCCAAATCCTCTCCTTGGGATATCTTATTGGTATATGAAAGGACGTCTCTTCGATTATCACTTTGCTACTTACAACACCTTCAACATTCCTTCCCCGAACTTAGAGGAACTATATCTTCCGTTATCGCAGCATGAAAGACATTAAAAGATATTTCCAAATATCGATCCGCACGACTAAATGGAAATCCAAATCCAAATAAAAAAAGAAAGACTAGAAACTTTCTACAAATTCGGTCTCAAGTTTCATATAATCTCCTACTACATCATCATAAGCGACTTCAGAATATCCACCATCACAAATGCAGATTTCCCAATGATGAATCCAACCGACGTACTCAACATCACTTATCACTTTCAGAGCATGAAAACCTCTAATCTTTCTAGTAGTTCCTTCCAGATGCCTTTATTTTTCTAAAGGACTATGTGAGGGAATTTGGAAGAACAAGTTTTGAACTCTACCACTTGATCAATCCTAGTAGAGCTCCTCAATGGATCAACTCTGCTGTGGTAGGAATTGAAAATCTTCCTATTGGTCCAATTGTTGATACCGAGCATAGATATATCTTTCAATTGAAATACTCCATTGAGAAGAAATTCGTCAGGGTAAGAAAAAAGCATCTTGTTCACACCCACGTGATTCAAGAATTCAAATAAATGTTTTGGTAAAGCAAACTTTCTAGAGATAGTGAAGAAAGAACATATCCAATAGTTAAATTGGTGGATTAAAGTCTGAACATGTATGCATAATGTGTATCTGTTCGCCTTTGATAATGAAGAGTGAAGATAACGAGATAGATAAGGTGAGTTACGAGGAGATTGAAAGTTCAACGAAATAGATCCTAAGCTATCCGAAAAAAAGTAAAGATCTGAACAAGCATCCGTCTGAGCTTCTTTTTATCTGAAGTCCCTTGCAACTAAACAAATGTTAAACTAAATAAGTTGTACTACTTAGTCTTATTTATTGTCTATAAATTAGGAAATAAGATCAACAATATCTTTTTTCAGTGTACTATTCTATTGATCATGATATAACTATTTTACCTTGTTTGTTTCCAAGTATCATGACTTGACCTATATAAAGGCTAGTCATGCCTTTGTTTAGATGTACCTTTCTGAACACTTCTTCTAATAAAAAAAAATATTCAAATCACTTATCAAAAACATTATCATTTTGTTCAATCTTACTTTCAAGTTATATTCTTTTTCATTTAATATCTTGTATTGAATACAACTTGGTTATATCATTCAGACTTGACTGGATAACTCCAGGCTTGATTGGAACTACATTACCTGCTTCTATTCATTATTGTTAACTCAATATATAAATATTTATACCTTGTCTGAATATTTATTATGATATTTATTCCTATCATAAATTTACCACCAAAATATTTTGACATGTAGGAATAAGTAGCTCCTAAATAAAAAAAGTGCAAATCAAGAATTAACTAGGAAAGTATCTAACACACCATCAGCATCATCACAAGCTTCAATTGCTGTCTATCAAAATGTTCAACCTTTAGCTTTTAGCATGCACTTCATCACATTTCCTGCACTCGTCTCTTTTTTAAATATAGAAAAATTTTGTACAATACTTCCCAATTCTTAAAACTTGTAGCATATTGACCTTTAGTACACAGTTGGAAGAATGCGATTTTTCCCATACTTTGATACATGATTTCATCTAAAAATTTGCTTTGAACTTAAGTACTTTTATCTCTTTCTTCAATCCGTTTCTTCTTATTATTATTGTATCCACCTTTTCTTCTTTTAAAGTCTTAGTTGTTTTAGTTGTCACTTCAACATCCTTTGTTTTTTTATCTCTCTCTTCTTGTGTTTGCTTAATTTTCCTAGCTTTCTTGATTGCTAGAACTAGAGGTTTTAGCTCTCCAAAGTTCAATTTATAGCTCCATAGTAGTCCTCCCACATATTGGCTTATCTTGGTCTCCTTATCGGGTTTCGACCATCTTATAAAACTCAAAACAAATTGGAGCTTGACATTGTACCTGAATATACTCCTCTTTCCTTTTTTAAAATATAAGAAATATAATTCTATTTGAAAAATCTATTCCATCATGGAAATCCTTTCATTCTTTTTCTCCAAGAAATCTTCCCATGCTTATCTGTCAACTACATAGGCTTTCAAGTTTTGTTTTAGTTCAATCTACTGTTGTAATGATGCATCTTTGAGTTGGTTCACCCTAAAATGTATCATTTGTTAATCATGGCAATTACATGTATCAAACACTGTTTCCATTTCACACATCCAATTATTCACTTTCATTAGATCTACGATTCCATCATAAATGTACACATGTTTAAGTCTTGGTAATTATGTACTCTATTCATAAATTCATCTTCCTTTGGAAAACACTCAGACGTAGGATCATACTCCATATACCCATATGACAACCTGTGGTTTCAGCCACTTGATTGGTTTACAATATTTATTGGAATTTCACTAACCATTCCTCTCACTTAATTCTTAATTCGAATCTTTTACCCCTAACAACTTTTAAAACTTCTCTTCTTTCCATTTCACCATTTTATGAAATATGGTTTGCATCACATCCAATATAATTGATGTGATTTGACTTCAGTGGTCTTTTTTATCTCTTGTTCTTCAATAGTGGTAAATTTACTTTTGGTTATACCATTATGAGGAGTTCATAAATTAGTAACCAATAAAAATAATGTTTATTATTAACCATATGTTCCTCACATCACCTATAACACTACATGTTAAGTCTAGATGCTAACATAGAACCTATTTCATTTAAACCAATTCTTGTATACCAATTAAAATAATATTTTCTCAAATAATGTTTAAAGGTGGAAAATTAAAGAATAACGACTCTAATACTCTAAAATGAGTTTAATATGTTAAAAATGCAATGAAGTATCCACTAACATCATTACATAGTTAAATGAAACCATTAAAAATATATGGCATTCTATAATTTGTCACAATCTCTAACCAAATAAGTGTTACGTATGGAAAGCCTAGTGAATATATTCAAAATTGACTCTTATTGAGTTTCAGATAATGAAGATTATCCAAAATTGCAATAGTTATAAATATTTATCAATAATCGAATTCTTATAAATATTCAACTTTATGTTTACTTGGAAAAGACCCATTTTAGATTGGGATAGATAGTGGTGAACATGAAGTAACATTTTATTGCCCCCAACAACACATGAAGAGGTGCCATTCTACACCATCGAATTCCCAAAAACTCATTGCTTCAATTGATGTTGTGACATCCCCATTCTTATGGCCATTAAAAAAAAATAATTATGATTATTTGAAAAAAAATTTATTTTTAAATACGGAATTTGGTCCTGTAAAAGTATTTCCGAAGAAATGTTTTTCGTTGATTAATAATAAGCTGGGGATGTCATTGATGGGTTTTGAGCATAACAAACAATCCTATGTGTGCATGCAACCCTAATTGCTTTGATCTATGGTTTCTCTAGTTGAACATTCAAGTATTGAACTTCATATGGAAAACCCTAGGAGACATGTACTATTTTCGAACTTAATAACATAAGATAGTAAACATACCTTTGATTATTATGTAGTAATAACAATCTAAATCCAAGACTTCTTGAAGCTTGAGAGCAAGTGTCACAAGTGTCACACCTCTAATAGATCACACCCAAAACTGGGGAAGAGGATGAGAGAGGAGAGAGGAGAGTAGGCTTAGGATTTTTGGCTATACTTCTAGGTTACAGAGTGACCGAAAATGAGAAGTCCTATGGATCTATTTATAGTGCAGATAGGATACATTCGATAACCCGAATTTGAACAAAATATTATTAATTCAAATTGGTAATTATCCACCTCCTTAATTATCTACCTAGAATAATATAAAAACCCTAATTATCCGTGGTAGAACCATCCACCACCTTCTAGGAAGGTCTTGAACCTCTTGCTTAGCTATTGAATAATTACACTTTAGTCCCTGCACTTTCAATTAATTATTTTAATCCCAAAATTAATTCCAATTAATTTATGATTAAATATTAATTAAATAATATGATTTCTAATTAATATATTATTTACATAATACATTAATAAATCATTTATTCCAAAAGTCGTCTTGTCTAGTTGCTAGTTATGAGGGTAACCGAAAAGGACTGTGCTACTATCAGTTCAAGTATATACCAATTATAGTTATGGGCTTAGACACCTAATCCAAAAGTCTCCCACTTGGATAAGTGTAATAACTATAGTTGCCATTATAACTTCTAAATTTTATTAGCAAATTGTAGTTCTCAAAGCCGCTGTCGAACTCTGACCTAGTTAGTTACGTGTCCTAAAATAAGTGATCATATAATACTCTGTTCTGCAAGATATCATGTGGACAAACGACATGGAATAGAATCAATCTCATTGTCCAATACTCTGTTTCCCGATTTCCAATTTGTAATGAAAAAGAACTACTAATCGTACACATCAATTTAGTCTTGGTCGTGCCCGTCACATAAGTCAACACCAAATCATCGAGGGGCCCAAGATATCACTTTTCCCGTTAGGGCAAAAGGAACAGATAAACTTTGACTTATATTCTATTATTATCTACTCATCAAATCATGCACAACAATAAGTTTTATAACATCAAGTTACTGATGCGTTTACGTATGATCAATGCACAATCAACTTGTAAACAACAACTCATATATCTCCGTTTAAAGATCATAAGATATTATCGTCTCATAATTACTCGTGATAAATTCCATGAAGTAATCCTCTGAGTGTGGGTTAATCCAATTCTCTATTTCAAAAGTACTCATGAATATTGTAGCAAACTTTTGCTATGTCTAAACCCTTAGACAATCTACAGTCCGATTCATGACAAAATTGATTCATAACTTACTTCCAAAAGTATGATCGACTGTGGATATTTAAATAATCCAATTATTCGGGAAGTAAAACATGCAAAATGAAACATAATAATAAACAACTGACAAAAAACAGTAAACAATACTCATAAATACATCTTCATTATTTAATCATCAAACGTCAATTACATTTATATTGTTACAAGTTTCTAAATATCTATCTAACTACTAAAACTAATATCATCCTTCAGACCTATGTTGCTTGCATGCTGAATGTACTTAACCATACTCAGACTC